CAAATAAAAATGGTATTTGTCTTTTCCACACAATATGGATATGATGCACAGCATTTACATCAGGTTTGTCAAATAATATGTTTTTTATATTAATTATTTAAAAGATCTACGATGAGGTTTTTCACGATATAACGCAGCACTATAAATTTATACAATAATATAACTTTAAAGAAAAAAGGCATAATACATTAATAATCATAATATTCTTATTATTAAAATTAATTTTATCTGACTCGCAATTAATAAAGCTAATCAAATTATCGACGCAATTCAGCAAGCATTTGTTGTTTTACAACAACAACAAAGTATCAATCATCATCATCACTTCCGTCAAAATGATAGGTGGTATATATTAATTTAACATTAACCTGAATAAACAAGGTAGAAATCTAAAAATAATACAAAATTCAAAATTAGAATTCTTTTTAGCCCCCAAACAACGAAATCAAATGTTTATCTTCGCCTCTTATGCGGGACATTGTGTTATGGCTTGCCAACAGCGCTTAACGGTCATAATTAGTTAATTAAAAAAAATTTTTTTTTAATCAAAAAAATAAAATTTTTATGCCTAATGCTTATCTGGTCCAAGACAATTAATTTCATTCAAAGGTATTATTAAATTCTTGCTCTAAAAAAAGCAGTCCAATGAAGCTTAAACAACTATCCTCAATGCCAATTAATTGTTTTCTCTGCAAAAGTGGATTCAATAACACTTGGCTACTACATACAGTCAGTTTTGGTCTTGTGACAATGATCGACAAGTCTATTTAAATTTTTTAAATTTTTTAAATTATTAAACATGTGATTAACATACGATAAATCACGTAATTATGATTTTAACCTAAAACGTATGTTAATATATAACTTGTGATTTTTAATGATGATGTAATTAAACTCTTGTCATTTAAATGGCTTTGATTTGATCATTTTAAAAAGGTACTAAAATATTAAAAAATATTTTACAAATCTTATTACAAACATGTCACCCCCAAAAAAAAAACGAGCTTATATTACTGCTGACCAAAAAAGAGAAATTTGTTTATTGAAAAGAAAAATAACCCAACCAAAAAATATAGATTTAGCAAATCAATTTAATATTACCGCAGGTCAGGTTAGTGATATCTGAAAGATGATGATTAATATAATAAATAGATTTAAATTCGTTTCAAGCAAAACTGAAAATATCACATACCTTGCCATTTGTTGATATTGAAGAAGCATTGTTTCATGGATTGAAAAGACTCTTAATGTAATTTAACAATCACAGATTCTTATTATTCAAAAAAAAAAAAAGGCTACAAATTTTGCTGAGCTATTAGATAAAGAGTTTAAAGGATCTTCTGGTTGGTTATACACAATTTAAACAAAGAAATTCAAATTCGTGAACATCTTTAAACGTGATGAAACTCCAGAAATGAGAAACACATTGCAAAATCTTCAATTTTTAATTGCAACGAAACTGGTCTTCTCTGGAAAATGGAACCATCTCGCGGTACAAAACAAAATAAAAGATAATTATATTGTTAACATGCGACGCTACTGGAACAGATCTATTGATTCCTTTATTTATTCATAAATATTAAAACCCAAGAGCATCAA